GAAGATGAAGATGAAGATGAAGATGAAGATGAAGATGAAGATGAAGATGAAGATAAAGATAAATATAAAGATGAAGATGAAGATGAAGATGAAGATGAAGATGAAGATGAAGATGAAGATGAAGATGAAGATTAAGATGAAGATGAAGATGAAGATGAAGATGAAGATGAAGATGAAGATGAAAAATTAAAGTAAATATATTTTGTATATAAGAAAGTATGCACATATGTATTAGAGGGCTGCATGAATGCATTCAAAACGGCTTATGAATTATTCATATCGATGGCTGAGTGGAAGATCGACCTATCTCGGCAGCCAGTTCCAAAACGCTCTATCTCAAAAAACTTTTCAAGAAGGCCCTATTTCAGATTTTAATTGAAAAACACCCTATCTCAAAATTCGGTTCAAAAGCGCCCTATCTCACTTCAAAATGTATTGAAAATATGCTGATATAGGGCGTTTTTAAATCGGCAGCTGAGATAGGGCGTTTTTGAAACGACTTCTGAAATAGGGCGTTCTTGAAAAGTTTTTTGAAATAGAGCGTTTTCGAACTGGCTGCCGAGATAGGTCGATCTTCCACTCAGCCATCGATATACAAAACGAATGAATGATTTTGGCTTAAATTTTTTTCTGAATTTGAGTGAATAGCTGTTCTGATATTTGTGTCGACATTACAATATTCAAACAAAATGAAAATAAATTGATTTGAAATAAATGACAATTCTAAAATGAAATAAATTGCGCACACTTCCATTCTTTTGCGAAATTTCGGAAGAAAATCTGTGAAGCAACGAAAATAATGCTGCTATGTGAAGAATATCTTTCAGAATTTTTCCAGAATTTTCTTTATTTTTCACACAGAAATTTCTTTACGAGTTCGTGTCAACCCCTTCAAATAATTTTCTTTGAAAATTCGTAAAATCATCGTTACAGAAATCAGATACTCCTAACCATTTCCTTAAGATTTCGGGTACTTTGGTTTGCAGGGTATGTATTGCTGCGCTTCTATAACATACGAAAAAACTTGTTTGTAGAAAAAAACTTTTACCGAAATGAGTTTGAATGATTTGAATGTTTTCCATTCATTTATTCACATTCTTCCATTTGAAGGTAGAAAATTTAAAACAAAATGTATATTCATAAATTACAAAATTCCAAACGCTGAGTGTTTTGTATGTCAAGTAAAACATTCAAACCTACTGTACTCTGTTTGGCTAGAAGTTTGAATGAAGTCATGCAACCCTCTAATATGTATGTATGTATATCGCACATTTCTTTCTTTCAGGAAATTCCTATATTGAGGGACTACACGCGCTGAGTTTTTTTCTTTTAAACAATACTCGCAAATTTTCAAAAATGTATTTAACAAATTGTCTACATACATATCTACACACAGGTGGGTGGCTTGATAAAAATTCTTTACCATTAGCGTTGACATTGGTTGTCGCACGTCTTGCGTACTTCCAGCATGTGCTAGCAAAAAACGTTTGAGATAAAAAAGTGTAGAAAACGCACAAAGCTGTTGATAACAACAGCCAAGAGACTGGGGTCAAAATTGTGTTTGCATATAAAAGCAGCGGTCAAGTGTAGCTTAAGACACTTCACAACCGTGATCCGAGCATTGGTTTAGAAGAAAATAAAATAAAATAATACATATTTTAAATTTGTGTGCCAAAAAAAAAAGTAGCGATGCAATTTGCGGCCGTTTGGCTATTGGCTGCTGCAGCCAGTTTCACAGCATTCGAGCAGAGTGAAGCTTACGATATAGGTGAAAATCAAATAAGTGAGTGTGAAAGTTTAGTTGGCTCTTTAATTTATCAATTAAAAGTGAAAATTGGGTCAATTTGTATGGGAGATGTTTTGGATTATGCGCGTATAGCATAGGAGGATTCCGAAGAAACCGTGAGTATAAAATCAATTTGGAGTTTGCCAAGTTGTGAAAATAGGTTTCTTTTTCATAGCATTTTGCTGTTGTTTCGTAAAAGAGCCCATAAATTTTGTGTAAAAACAAGCTACAAGGAGTTCCTGGTATCCATTTCCGAACTTATCTTTTTCCTAAAACATCCGCAATAGTGAAAATTTTCACATTATCTTACGTGTCAAAATAAAGCAAAGATATATTTGATTCTTTTCATACAACCAAAATTCTATACAGAGAACATTCATATGCATAAGAAATAACATTGTTTTACACATTTCCATTTGAATACAAATTTTTATTAAATTAATTACAGTCACTCACAAAATTGAGTATGTGGTGATTTTTTTTAATATTCACAAAAGTTTTCATGTCAAAAATTTCTTGTTAATTTTTTTATGCAAATACGATTTATATTTTGAAATACACTATATACACTGCCGGCAAAAAGTATTGGCACAGCAAATTTTTCACAATATGTGCAACAATTTTTTTCTAATATTTTTCCGCCAATTTTTTATAAATACATGGTTCATTCTACAATAAAAAACATAAAAATAGAATTCCTTAACTTTGTGCAAAACTCACGAAAATTCAGCTAATTTTCATGCAAATTCTCAACTTTTTAATCAGATATTTCAGAATTTTTTTGGGTATGAAGTTTTGCACCCAGTAATGCATATAAATTCACTTTTTTTTTATACGGAATAAAATGCCATACGCCGTCAGAAAAAAAGGTTAAAAATCAGCGCGAATTTTAAGACATTTAAAAGTTGCTCATAAAAATTTAATGGGTTTTAAAACTACATACTCGAAATTTTGTAGAAAATCTTAATAAAAAGGTTGCAATATTTGATGAAATTTTGCAGAATTCTTCTAAATTTGGTACAAAGTGTGAAACTCAGGTTGGTATGGTATTTGTTAAAATACAAGCCATATTTTAATAAAAAATTAACAAACAATTTTTAACATCAAATCAATTGTGAATATGTAGATTAAAAAAAAAAATACCGCATATTCAATTTTGTGAGTGACCTGTACATGTACCGTATGAAAAAAAATTTCAAGGAAAAGTAAAATTTAGGTTTTTTATTTTAACACGAAAAAAACGTTTAAGTTTTCACGCCCTCTGGCGGAAGTTTTATGAAAATGATAAGTCCAGAAATGGATTCCTCATAGCTACCAAAAAAAAACCCTTGGCATGTGTTTATACAAAATTTAAGCACTTCTTTACGACACTACAGCATACTGCTAAGAAAAGGAAACCAATTTTCGCAATTTGGCAAACTCTTAATTGATTTTAGAGCCATGGTCTCTTCGGCAAATGTGGTTAGAGCTACACGTAGAATCCTCCTATGCTATACGCGCATAGTCACAAAAATGTAGCCTCCCTAATGTATACGTTTAAAAAGTCTTTTAAGCAAACTTCTTTTACGCGCGGACACTGCGCTAGTATATTCCGACGTAGTTTTTGACGCTGATTCCGAATCCAAAGTCAGAATTGTCAAATTGGCTAAAGTTTTTAGTGTCTCGGCAAAGACAAAAGACGAAGTTTTACATTGTTTCGGGTGATTGTGCAGTTTTTTGAGTTTATCTCAATAGCTAAGTCCAATTTAACACTTCTGACTTTGAATTTGAATTCAACGGGGAAAAATACATCGAAAGAGATTAGCGTAGTGTTTGGGCCAAGATGTTTTTTTGAGGTACCTGTTTTTTGAAATCTTTATAATCAAAAATATATTTTACTTGTTACTTGTTGGCAAGTAGATGCCGGCGCTAATGCCTTGAATGCGGCTACTCAAAACGCCATTGGTTCAGCGGGTGTAGGAAGTGGGCTAACCAACAACATTGGCGGAAGTCAAGTCAGTAAGTAATAAGCAATGACAGATATGAAAATTTTGTTTAATTTGTTTTATAAATACATTACAACTAGTAAAGGACATACCTAATTTCAAACTAATTCAAATTTTTATTTTAGTCAACTCCGGCTCGATCATTCAGGGTAGCGGCAACACTGTTAACAGTTTACTCAATGTGGATCCTCAGATCAATGCGGTTGTGAATGCCCTCAATAGCTTAAATCAAGAATCTGCTGCTGCCTCCGATGGAGCAAGTGGAAATACAATTGGTGGCAGGCAAATTCGTAAGTATGGAATGGGGTCTCTTGCCCAGTTAATAATTATTCAAAGATAGATTAAGTTAAGTTACATATGTAGGTACCTCTGTGGCTCGTTTCTATAACAATTCTCTACCAAGGCGAATTGAGATATGAATTCGCCACCTTGTTCTCTACTGCTAATGAGTGGTAGAGAATGACGTATATTCTCTAGCAGTAGAGAAATAATCGAATGACAAATATTCTCTAGCAGTATAGAAATAATTGGTAGAGAAGAGTTACAGAAACGAGCTACGAATTTGTCCCTGCCTTTCTTGTCTACTTTTTCTTCTTGTTTGGCGCAGTAACCGCCTAACTTATTTATGTCGAGATCAATGAAGCACGCCAGTCGGTTCTCTTGTGCGCCAAGTATGGCCAATTCGAATTGCCAAGTCCTTCTCTACTTAGTATTTTCAATACAGAGACAGCTTCTCTTGTCCTCTACTACTACTAGCGGGTTCCGAGTTGTACGTACCACTAAAGGCCGACTTGATGATATTAAAGAGATTGTGTGGATGTTCGGTATTCGTGAATGTACATATATCGAGTTAGTCCCTACAGACCACGGGGACATAATAGTAGCTTAACTGTTCACAACGAAGGCCAGTTTAGATGGAGCTTCGCCGTCATATAAATTATACTTAGGATACACTTCAGTAATCTGCGGACCTATAAGTCTATCTCAAAAGCAGATTCGGAGGTAAGATGTTAGATTGAATTTTGGAGCCATTTGCTTAAATCGTGCTCGCCGTAGAGGTGTAGATTGATACCAGGTTTGAGAGGTGAAGAACTCAGTGAAAGTTTAAAGATAATTATTGGATCAAAAGTGGTGGGTAAGAACTGCGGCCAGTAGTAGTCACCATGTTTGTAATTCATGCAGAGTCCGCAAAGAGCTAGGGACGAGTTGTCGGAGGATGCGTCAGACTAGGCTGAGCATAATTTTATTAATTGAGGAAGTTTTGTTAAATTACACTTTAGAAGTGGATATGCAAAAATTTCATTAATATCATAAAAGAAATTCTCGCACATGCAGCAGTGCGTAGCATGCATTTAGGTGCTTGGTGTCTATCTACCTTTTCTGAAAGCATTCTGAGCCTGAAATTTTCGAAAATAAGGCATATTTTGCAGTGTTGTGGCCCGTATTCCCTGCTTTAGGGATGAAGACCACTGCTACCTGCTATCTGACGAGGCAAACGACCATGTACACTTTTGTTGCCAAGCAAATTATTGTGGCATCCGTTCATCGGAGCATAGGTGGTACGATACTATATATCTGGACGCGACAATATCATCGAGTGTATAGCCTCGCTAGTAGTTGAAAGTGGTTGCTGACTCGAGACTGACTGTCACAACATTTGCTCTACTGTTTCAAGACTGCTTATTCAGTAAGTTAAAAGGAGCAGCACTCTTATAAAATCACCTTCTCAATCGCGCGAATTTTGTGATGAATTCGAGCTTTCAACAAATTTTATACCCGATGCCTTTTTTGATTTTGTTATTCCCTTCTGGAACGGACAGAAACTACGACGGTATGCTTAGTAAATATAGCGCTATAAACGACGCCTTTCTTTCCCAGGTATTGTCCAAAGCAGCCTTAGCTTTGCCATCCACCACTTTGTGTGTTTTGCTTGGAGGCTTTGTTTTCAGAACAAATTGTATAGATTCGTTAAAAGAATTCGTAAAACGAACAACCGCTGCCCACAGTTGGTCTGTTGAGCTCGGATCGGCTGCCAGGGTTTCGAAAATATTTTTTGTGTTAAATAATATGTGATAATATGCGATCTATAAAAAGCGTTTGGACGAGTGTGTTTGAAGTAAAATGTCTAATGTATATACATAATTAAATATAATACTTACTCTTGTAAACACTCACAAAATAAGCTTTTTACAAGTTACTGTTTTAGATTATGAACTATCGAAAAGTTAAGAGACGGTCTTCTATTAGGTATGTCTTTAGAGCTGTGCTGGCCAACTTAAAGCCGAGCACGACTAGTTGATGACCTTTTTTTCCCTATGCATATGTAAATAAGAGGCCGAGACAATTTACAAAGGCTCGGCACATGTACTTATGAAGTTGCCATCCTTGACATACACAGACACTGAATAAAAGTTCTCCCTGTTTTGGAGTTATCTACCTAAGACCCTCAAATAGCGACCATAACGAGTACTACTTTAATACATTCATACATACGTACATTGATGGATTCAATCTTTATTCAGCTTTCAAAACTTCTATATCTTATTTTAGAACAAGCTGACACCCAAATAGTTGGACAAGGTAATACTGTCTCAAGTCTGGCCAATGTCAATCCGCAAGTGAATGCTGGTGTTGGTCTACTTAGTTCCGTGACACAAACAGTTTCTGGTGCAACTGGTGGAGCTGCTGGTGGACAATCAGGAAGTGATTATAACGGTAAGATTCTTAACTTGACCGTATGAATACAAGGGGATAATGGGCTGGAGTTAGCGTTAGCGGAGCTAAGACAGAAACATTTACGATCGCACGTCCTAGCTTATCCTGAGGAGCTCTCAGTCATTGAAATTAGTTAAAGTGGTCGGATCACGGCACTTGGCAAACTAAATAATGATCTAGTTTAAGTTTTCATGGTATTCCCTGGACAACCTCTGTCCTTATCAAGTTAAAATGAGAACATTTGCATTCCACGATTGTGGCTTCGAACTATTGAATTCCTATATTGGATTCAGCGCTGTACTTCCATGCAAGTTTCTTTTATATTTACCCTATACCCTCTTTTTTAATATAGAAAATCCGCAAGCCAGCGCAGGAACTCCAACTGCACGTGGATCCAGCTCAAGTGCGTCTGGAAATAGTATTGGCGGCCAACAAAGACGTAAGTGAAATGAAAAGCTCGATAAAATTTCAAATTTTTTACTGATTTACACACCAATTTGCAGAAAATACTGGTGCCAATATTGTTGGTGATGGCAACACGGTTTCGAGTCTGGCCAATGTCAGCCCTCAAGTCAATGCAGGCGTCAATCTTCTCAGCTCAGTAACTCAAACGCTTTCCGGCGCAACAGGTGGTAGTGGTGGACTACTGGGAGGTGTACTTAGTGATGTAGGTGGCGCTGCTAATAATATTGGCGGCAGACAAACGAGTAAGTATGCATTCTTTGCAAGGAACCTCCGTTTTAAATAATCGCGTTTTTTAATTCTAACTAAATTTTATTTTAATTTTTGTTAGTGGCTACAGGTTCCAATATACAAGGAAACCGCAATCAAGTATTCAGTTTATTAAATGTGGATCCCCAAATTAATGCTGACGTGAATGCTCTAAATACTGTCAATCAAAGTACACCAGGTGGAGCTAGCGGGGCAGGAACAGCTGGAAATAATATCGGCGGCAGTCAAGCTCGTGAGTAGTGACTAGTAATATTTATATTTACTAGTAATTATGAAAGAAATTGAGACTTGAAGGGAGGATTTTATGGGCATGAGTACGAGCGGACAGTGTCTGAAAATATTGACCCACCTCAAAACATTCAAAATATTTTAAAATAGTTACCTTCTATGAAGAATTGATTCTAGCAAAATATTCTCTTCCCTACAGAATCTACAGGTAATGGTATTGTTGGTGATGGCAACACTGTTTCAAGTCTCGTCAATGTCAATCCTCAAGTCAATGCTGGCGTGAATCTTCTAAGTTCAGCAGCACAAACCGTTTCTAGTGTCGCTGGCGGTGTTGCTGGTGCTAGTGGTGGACTTTTAGGCGACGTACTAGGTAGCGCAACTAGTGGACTTTTAGGTGGCGTACTTGGTGGTGCAACGAGTGGAGTTTTAGGCGGCGTACTTGGTGGTGCAACTAATGGACTTTTAGGCGATGTGGTTGGCGGCTTCGGTGGTGCGGCCAACGATATCGGCGGCCAGCAAGTCGTGAATGCTCTAAATATTGTCAACCAAAATACACCAGGTGAAGCTAACGGTGCTGGCTCGCGCGGTGCTGTAAACAACTTAGGTGGTAGCCAAGCTCGTAAGTAGTGACTAGTAATACGTATTTATTTCTACTAGTGATTCCGAAAGACATTGATCCTCTACACACTAGGTTTTTGAGACCGCTTGAAGCGAGGATTTAATGTGCATTAGCAAATATTTCAAAATAGTTACCTTCTTTGAAGAATTGGTTCAAGCAAAATCTTATCTTCCCTACAGAATCTTCGGGTAATCGTATTGTTGGTGATGGCAACACTGTTTCGAGTCTCGCCAATGTCAATCCACAAGTTAATGCTGGTGTGAATCTGCTCAGTTCTGTTACACAAACCTTATCCGATGTAATAGGCGGCGGTGCAAGTGGCGGACTGCTTGGTGGTGCACTTGGCGCTGTAGAAGGTTCAGCTAACAACATAGGTGGCAGGCAACTGAGTCAGTAACAAATATCAATAGTTTATGATTGCAGATCCATAGAATTTCCTCCTTTTTTCAGTGGATACAGGCTCTAACATTCAGGGGAATAACAACCAAGTGTCCAATTTAATTAATGTGGATCCTCAAGTAAATGCCGATGTAAATGCTTTAAGTAGTGTCAATCAAAGAACAGCAGGTGGAATCGGTGGTGCTGGAGCAACTGGGGCTGGAAATAGTTTTGGTGGCGGGCAGGCACGTAAGTATAGTCTAGTAATATCTGAAAGATTAAAGCAATATAAATAAGTTATAGAGCTTTAAAAAAATTTCGAATATTTAGGATAACCAAATTTTTGGATAAAATGTATGTTAAATCTGCCTACGTTTTCAGAAAATACAGGTAATCGGATTGTTGGCGATGGTAACACTGTTTCGAGTCTTGCCAATGTCAATCCACAAGTCAATGCTGGCTTGAATCTGCTAAGTTCGGTAACACAAACGCTTTCCGGTGCTGCAGGTGGTAGCGACGGACCACTTGGAGGCGTACTCAGTGGTGTAGGTGGCGCTGCTAATAACATTGGCGGCAGACAAACGAGTAAGTATGCATTCTTTGCAAGGAAACGTTTTTTCAAATCATTCCATTTTTAATTCTAACTAAATTTTATTCTAATTTTTGTTAGTGGCTACAGGTTCCAATATACAAGGAAACCGCAATCAAGTATTCAGTTTATTAAATGTGGATCCCCAAATCAATGCTGACGTGGATGCTCTAAATATTGTCAATCAAAGTACACCAGGTGGAGCTAGCGGTGCAGGAACAGCTGGCTCGCGCGATGCTGGAAATAATATTGGCGGTAGTCAAGCTCGTGAGTAGTCGCTAGTGATATGTATTTATTTCTGCTAGTGATTCTGAAAGACATTGAGCCTCTACACACTAGGTTTTTTAGACCACTTGAAGTGAGGATTTTGTGGGCATGAGCACATATTTTAAAATAGTAGTTACCTTCTTTGAAGAAGTGGTTCAAGCAAAATCTTCTCTTCCCCACAGAATCTTCAGGAAATCGCATTGTTGGTGATGGCAACACTGTTTCGAGCCTCGCCAATGTCAATCCACAAGTAGACGCTGTGGTGAATCTGCTAAGTTCTGTTACACAAACCGTATCCGGTGCCACAGGCGGCGGTGCAAGTGGCGGATTGCTAGGTGGTGCACTTGGCTTAGCTAACAGCATAGGTGGCAGACAACAGAGTAAGTGACAAATATCAGTAGTTTATGATATCCATATCCCTAGAATTTCCTCCTTTTTCCAGTGGAGACAGGCTCTAACATTCAGGGGAACAACAACCAAGTGTCGAATTTAATTAATGTGGATCCTCAAGTAAATGCCGATGTAAATGCATTAAGTAGTGTCAATCAAAGAACAGCAGCTGGAAGCGGTGGTGCTGAAGCAACTGGGGCTGGTGGAGCTGGAAATAGTTTTGGTGGCGGACAAGCGCGTAAGTATAGTCTAGTAATATCTGAAAGATTAAAGCAATATAAATAAGTTATAGAACTTTAAAAAATTTTCAAATATTTAGTGATAACCAAATTTTTGAACAAAGTGTATGTTAACTATGGAAAAATCTTCCCTCCTTTTCAGAAATTGCTGGCAATCGGATTGTTGGCGATGGTAACACTGTTTCGAGTCTTGCCAATGTCAATCCACAAGTCAATGCTGGCGTGAATCTGCTAAGTTCTGTAACACAAACGCTTTCCGGTGCTGCAGGTGGTAGCGACGGACCACTTGGAGGCGTACTCAGTGGTGTAGGTGGCGCTGCTAATAACATTGGCGGCAGACAAACGAGTAAGTATGCATTCTTTGCAAGGAAACGTTTTTTCAAATCATTCCATTTTTAATTCTAACTAAATTTTATTCTAATTTTTGTTAGTGGCTACAGGTTCCAATATACAAGGAAACCGCAATCAAGTGTTCAGTTTATTAAATGTGAATCCCCAAATTAATGCTGACGTGAATGCTCTAAATACTGTCAATCAAAGTACACCAGGTGGAGCTAGCGGTGCAGAAACAGCTGGCTCGCGCGATGCTGGAAATAATATTGGCGGTAGTCAAGCTCGTGAGTAGTGGCTAGTAATATTTATATTTATTAGTAATTCTGAAAAAAGTGAGCCTTGAAACGAGGATTTTATGGGCAAGAGTACGAGCGGACAGCGTCTACAAATATTGTCGCACTTCAAGACGTTCAAAATATTTTAAAATAGTTACCATCTATGAAGAATTGATTCTAGCAAAATATTCTCTTCCCTACAGAATCTGCCGGTAATCGTATTGTTGGTGATGGCAACACTGTTTCAAGTCTCGCCAATGTCAATCCTCAAGTCAATGCTGGCGTGAATCTTCTAAGTTCAGCAACAGAAACCGTTTCTGGTGTGGCTGGTGGTGCTGTTGGTGCTAGTGGTGGACTTTTAGGCGGCGTACTAGGTAGCGCAACTTGGCGTGGCGTACTTGGTGGTGCAACGAGTGGAGTTTTAGACGGCGTACTTGGTGGCGCAACTAATAGAATTTTAGGCGGCGTACGTGGTGACGCAATTGGCGGACCTTTAGGCGGCGTGGTTGGCGGCTTGGGTGGTGCGGAAAACAACATCGGCGGCCAGCAAGTCTGTAAGTATGCGGGCGTGATAAAACACCAACACAAAACTAGAGTGCTAATGAATCTTTAACATTCTAGTGAATAGAGGCTCCACCATATTGGGAAATAATAATCAGGTTTCCAGTTTATTGAATGTCGATCCTCAAGTGAATGTAGATGTTAATGCCTTAAGTAGGGTTAATCAACAAACCAGCACTGGAGGTCTTTCGGGTACTGGTGGTGCTCAATCATGTAAGTTGAAGATATACTCTTTATTTATGTACTCAAAAACTTCGCTTGACTGCTGCCAAACTCTGATGGAGACAGCGGCGTAGAACATACTTCTTCATAGCATTTGAGTCACAGGTTGCATATGCAGAGTGCATCACTTTAAACCGCCAAGTCACTAGGCTCTTGCTACGGCATGCTAAACCTTTAAACCATGGACAACTACTTATGTATGCTCCAAATCTGGCACTGACACTGGACCGCTCTTGGCCTTGCACGTTGCTTATTCCTCGATTGGCCTGCGAATCATCGGTCTTACCTGACTATGGTTTTCCCAATTCAATAGTCACTCGCTTAGCGCCCAGCACGCAACTGCGGTTTAAGTCGCAACCTAAGCGCTGGCCCGCAAAACCAATTTGACCTCAACGCCAGTTTTGTTGGTTCCTGATCACGGTCGTCACCACCGTGTGTACAAACAAACACCACGTAGTTTTCCACTGGTGTCACACAGGTGATAAAAACGTTGTCATGATAAGAGAAAAACACATCTATCGAGGTTTTTCGCATTATCATTTCCCCCTATCTTCTTTATCATTGGTCGGGATAATTTTGAAGCGAATATCTCTAAAGTAGGATTTTTGCTAATGTGATAAATCATCACCGATAATCAGTTGTTTTGTTTGCTCTTCAAGCTGGAGTGTAAGTTAATTAAGTTAATTGAGTGTGGGCTTCGCTTCTATCGATCAGCGTAAAAGAATGAGAAACTTTGTTGCGGCCAGTACGCGACAGCCCTATACCGCCTGGAAACGTTTACTTAGGGATGCTATCTTTAGACAAGTGGCGAAAAAGTGGTGCCAAAGCACAGATTCTTGCATATCTGAAGTAAATAAGAAATCCAGTATCTCTGACGAGGGTCATTGCCTTATATGCAGGCATGGTGAACTGCTACGAATCTGAGAAGGAAGTTATCCGCCATAATTTTTTTTTTTGGAGCTGGAGGATTGACCGGTGGGGGCATAGGCATCTTCTTAGGCTCGCAAGTCCATTTTGGTGGGTGGACTGACAGGTCACTGCTTGATTTGAATTAACGCAGTCAGATTAAACATCACGCCGAACCGTCTTCGTCGCGGTTGCCTGGGGGGCGACCTAGGTGGAACCATTCGGATGCTTCCTCTTACACTGCCCATCTTTTGATAGATTGCGCCTTAGGCACCTGGATTAGCACTTTGTAAGTGACTCGGAGGAGCTTCCCGGAATTAACATTCGTTCGCGACACGCATCGATTCTCGCTTTAACCTATCAGTCCCAGGCGGCAAACACAAGCGGGAAATACTTGTTGAAATTCACCTAGGAAACTCTTGTACACACGAACCTCTATGTGGCTTGCTAAAATCTTATCTAACCTAAAACAAATTCCTTGTATTTATTGACCAACATGAGTCGAAATTTTCATTTCAGAACTAGTTCTAAAATAATTAAAGGAGCCGGTCATTATCTTAAGTGCGTTTTCTCTGTCACTACACATACCAGAGCATATTCAAACAAGATTAGAAAAAAAGTGTGTCCATTTTCTTCCATACAACTAGACTCCAAATTGGTTACGACAGTTTCTTCGCATCGTGGAAAGTGGGAAAAAGGTTTCAAATCAATAGGGGGCTGAATGTGACCAGATGGAATTTTTAGCAGCTACTATCTGAAACCATTACCCTGCTAAATCTTACGCTTCTCTCAACAAACAGACCGTGTCTTAGGTTTAACAAGACAATGACACCCAGAGGCTAATTTTGGTACTGAGGAATAATTTTGGCAAAAGCGTTTACTTCTGCGGTTACAGTGCCAATAAAAAAGAAATAAGACCCAGGGCCTGTGTTTATTAACTAAACATCAACTTCTGTCCGTGGCGGTTTGTTACTTTTCTTCAACTTGCCGGAACAGAAAACCCAAAGACTTGAAAGTATATATCCAATTTCTTGTCAAAGCACCTTTTCTGATGGACTTTTTTGTTTTCTGACTTCATTGAAAACCACTTTACCCTTAATCCAATCACGATTTGACTCTTGCTTTAAAATAGTGCTGATGTAATATTGGCTTGAAATTTTTACTTGCCCGTTTTTGGAAAAAAATTACTCAGTAGTAAAAAATGGCCTTTTATGATATCTACTTCTATTTTACAGCGGCGGTAGGAATTTCTGGAAACGCTGGAGCTACCCGAGTTGCTGGTGGAAGTCAAACACGTGAGTAGAAGATCATTATCTAATGTTTAATGATTTCAAGCTTTTAACTTGTATACTAAAATAATTTCCCTTAAATTTTCTACAGTTAACAGCGGTACGGTTATCCAAGGCTCAGGCAATGCAGTTTCCTCACTGGCCAATGTAGCGCCTCAGGTTGGCCTCGATATAGATTTACTCAATGCTGTAACTCAAACGGGCGGCGGCGGCGGTGGTGCTGGATTGCTTGGAGGCCATTTACCTCCAACCCCACAACCAACTCTGCCTCCTACACTTCCTCCATTACCCCCGACACTACGTCCAACTCCACCTCTCACACTTCCTCCGACTGTACCGCCAACTCCCCCTACACTTTTACTAACTTCGCCCCTTTATCCTCCAACTTACCCGACTGCACTAAACGTACCTTATGCCTACCCTCCGCAACCACCATCGCCGTCCTACTTGGCACCACCTTTACCACCACAATTCCCTAAAGCTAACTGCTTTGAAATTACGGATTACGATCTAAATGGGAATAAGGGTCAATCTCGTATAGTGTGTGTTCCACCTCCGTCCCCGCCAACACGTCGTTGTTTCCTGCGCCGTTGCAACAAATGGTCAAATCAAGCAGATACCAGCTGCTGTTTTGAAAACCATCCACATTCGCAACCACATGCACCAATACCCGCACCTGCGCCAGCACCGATTTACGAATCGCCACAACCTGGACAGATAGAGTCACCGATAAATCTAAGATACGATCATTTCTACCCTTAATGTGTTTTGTAACTCTATTCCGTTGAAAATAAACGCCGGTTTTCCTCCGAAGAAGCTCGTTTTATTTTATCAAAAACTCGACTTACATTTTAGCAATTGGAAAAGTATCAATTTCTATTCAATTCTCGACAAGCGACGATAGGAACGTAAGCGTAGTAGTGGCAGATGATGGTATGTTCATCTACTCGGAGGACCTGCTGATGGGTGCGTCTTTTCATCTGCCAAACAACTGCAGCCTCTCTTAAGGTGAGATTCATTTCATCGAGAAGGCAGTTAGACTTCTACCTTATACCAGCTCCGTAGCTTTGAAGTCAATAAATTCCATAATATTTAAATCGGGGAGTTTATAGAAAAGCTTTACCGCATTTGAGCCTAGGCTTTTCTCTCGTCGGTCCGGAACCGGAACCCACTCAAGGAGTTTGGGCTGTCAGAAAGCTCAGTTGCACGTTAGGAAGGTTAATTTGAAGCTTTTATATGTTAGGGTTGAAGCCACCTAATAAGCTCTTAACTTGTGATTTGATACCCAAGGTAGTCTAGTGTCATGAGGAAGAATACATGATTACTTTCTGTGTCGATTTCCAAATCTGGGAAAAAGCTTATTCAGCAGTCTAGTACCTTGGGCTCAAATTCATGTGAAATAGGGGGTCAACCGCACAGTGCCATGATTTTTATATCTATTGTCTTTTTATAGGAACCCTGGTTAAGGAAGTGTGCCTGCTCATTCGCAGAGGATAGTCAACAGTGTATCACAGTAGAAGTATGGCACTCTTCAAACGCTTTCTAATAAGCGGAGAGCCACTTCCAGACTCTTCGCCAAATTTGGCTGTAATCTTCAAAATGAGGAATCAAAGCAGCCAGTGGAGAGGGTCAAGGGCAATTTTGTGACGGACGGAAAGCAGGAACGGCCTCCTGACCCCAGACCAGCATCCATTCATAACAGGACACGGATATCAAAAAATTAACGGTCAGTAGGCAACACTACTGATGTAGGCTTGTTGGCGCAACCGGGTGTACTGAGTTCCTGAAAACTTTGTGCTTGACCTAGTCCCAAAAGATCTTTTAATTAACAAGTCAGCTTATACTAGCGCATACAAACTACGGGATTTAGAGTACTAGAAAGCAGGGCGCATTCCAAAGAGAATATTAAAGCTCTACCCACCGACTACATAATAGCAAGAAATTAGATTAACGCAAGTACTGAACGAAATTCCTAAACCGCAGTGACTCGATTCAAGAAGATAATAAATGCTTGCTGGTCCACAGCCATGTTCTTAAAGCGAAGTCTAAAATGGAAGCAGACATTTTCATTGAGCAACTCAAGTTCTCGCGTGTAAGGTGAAAATTTTTCCGATTTCCAGGCATCAATTCAGGCATACCCCTTTTCCTTGAATAGGTCACAATCCGTGGAACACTGAAAGACGATTCTGAGGGATACTATTGCATACCTAATAGTGCCGCCAATAACAACATGTTGGCGCCAAATATTCATTTACAACGCTTTCTTCATAACAGGTACAACGTGAAACTACTTTGACTTTATTTATATCTCAGTGCCCGTGTGGCAAAAATAAAATCAAGTACGCGCCCCAACCATCAATTACACTGGCATCAGAATACTTGTCGCGCGTATACCTAGATGGAGAAAGCGCCCAAAAGGCGGCAATGAAAAGTGTGACGCACATAAGTTATGCGCTCGCATACAAAAAACTTTCGCAGCTATGAAGAGAGATGGTTGCTCCATAAACTATGCGTACATTCTTGAATATCAGCTAATTTTATCGCTTCTTTTCAACAACAGGAATGAAAGTGGAACATTTTTGCTTTATTTTTCCGCACAACAGCCGCGTTGATGTTTTTATTGCATTCATTACAAATTTCATATTCTCTCCCCGTTAAATTATGTAGTTCAATTACTCAGCTTGGTGGTAATAACATTCGCCACAGTTGAGCGCCAAGTATACAAACAACAAGTAAACAAACAACCAGCGAAAAAAAAAAAAAAAGCTCTGCTTGTCTGATGCCGTTGGCTACCCAAACTGTCTTTGTTTGCCTCGTCTACTTACCTGCTTCTTTCATGTTTGTCGAGCGCGTGTCCTGTATTTTAAAGCAGTTTTGGGGTTTCCTTCAGTTTTCCTATTAGTCATACCGCGCTGGTTTCCTTTATCATTTTCATATCTCCCACCAGCTATCTTTTTCCGTTTTCCTCGTTAATATAAATTTGATGCGCTTTCTATTGCTGTTAACTTTTTCTTTAATTACCTTTGCGTTAATTTTTCATTGCGCTTTGGGTTGAATTTGAAACATCTCATTCTTGTGCGGGTTGGTTTTATTGGATTATCTGCAAATAAATTTGTACGCCGGGTGTTATTGTCGAAGTGCGCTATGAAATATTTAAAAATTATTTGGCAGGCATTTTGTGAGAGGTCAACTCGTTTTACCTAGAAGGCACTTGAGACGTGCATAGAATTTGTTAGTTAAATTTTAATTTGGTTACAGAGGTGCTAAGACAATTTGGAAAGGGACAATGAAAATGTACAATGAGCTGATGAAAACACGCTCGTCTTGATGATGAACTCAGTTGCTGTGCTTCAAAAGGCGTTTGCCTTCGCGATAGCAAAAACTCCTGTCGATGTTTAATAAAATTTACGCAAATAAACAGAATTCTTATTCCATTCGGCTCTAAAAAGCTTGTGGAATTGAATTCGTTTTCTCGCGGTATGTCTTCTTCTTTTTTAATTAGATCTATAACCGTTTGTCGGTTTGAGCCGAGACCAAAAAGCTTCGCCAGTTGCTTCTATCCTTTGCAATTTTGCGCCTGTTGTTCATCCAAAGCGCAGACAGCTCCTTTTGCCCCTGGTCTTTCCATCGGGTCCGTGGGCGCCCTTGCTTTCCTTGTCCACCCATGGGTGCGGAGCTAAAGAAACGTTTCACAGGAGCGTCATCATCCATGCGGAAAACATGTGCAGGCCAGCGATATCGTTGTATTTTTAGGCCTTTAACTATACCCGTGTCTTAAAAAACGCTCGTACAGTTCATCATTCCATCTTTTACGGTACTCCTCGTCAACGCGAACATAGAATAGTTGTCTCGAAAGCCCCAAAGCCTTTGTCAGACATCTTCAATGTTTCTGCGCCATATAAAAGGATGGGCGTGATGAAAAATTGTAGAGCGTGAATTTTGTTCGTCGAGAGAGGGCTCTGCTTTTCAATTGCCTACCGAGCCTAAAGTAGCACCTGTTGGCAGGAGTTAGTCTTCGCTTTATCTCCAGATTGACATTACTGGTGGTGTTTATGGTGAAACCCGGCTAAAAAAGTGCTTCTATATTTCAAGACTATACCTGCCAGCTTTTTATGTGTTGCCGCTAGAGGGATTGAGTGTAGCCGTGCAACTGTAGCTCCATACCCAGACGAACGGCTCACGCCCCATTGCAGCCCACGCCGCACACTGTTGCTATTATATGGAGGCATTTGGAACAAAGTCATTGTGACAGTCGAAAGTCATAAATACAAAATTTCACATCAAAGTGTGAGTACCGGTCCGTATGGTCTTTAAATTAGACGCATGTTTTAGAGGATTTTATGTAGTTTTCGAATATATAATTGGATATTCTTGCGCGACTTTGCAAATATATGTAATTGTCGATTTTCTTAATTTACGAGTTTCAGCTTCTTTTTGCATAATTTGCCGAAAAGAATTTCACGAATTTTAAATTATGTGTAACCTTTGTTTTCTGAGAGTGGAAAGCAGAAAACAAAAATTAACCAAAATTCCATCACATTTGGTGACTGGTGTCCACATTGGTAGTCCGCGAATGGCGCATCGTATACCTTATCCTATTCTCTTCTATATTTTTCCGTCGTAGTTTGTGTAAACAGCTCATTACCTTACCGCGTAAGTTTCGTTATAGTAAGCTCTACTTTAGACGTTTTTTTTTAGATCAGTTATAAGCTCATCAACAGCCTCTTCACCCGGTCTTCGTGTCTTACACCCCTAATCTAACGAAGTCACAAAATTTAGCGCATCACTATTGTGATTTCCACTGCGACTCAATGTATGCCAAAACAAATATCCCGCTACAAAAAAAAAAATATTTAAATTTGTGTGCATTTCCTTAGAATTTAATGTAAAATTTTTGTGGCAGTAGAAATCACAATTGTGAGGAGTTGAGTTTTATGAATTTGTTAAAATAGTAGGCGGGTAAGTCGCATTTATGATTTGAAATTAACTGGGTGTTCAGTTTCGAAGCGTAGGGCCACTCTTATATGAGAGCACCAATTACAGGGTACTGAGTTACTGCGTTATGTAGTTACACCGTAGCCGACTTGGCACCAGTGGATAGACAATGAAACCAAGGAAATTCGCGGTGCAATCAAATGCAGAAAAATCGGTCGGGAGTAGGATTATTGTTGAAGCTTTTATGTCTTGATCTAACCGAAAAAAGATATTTGAAAACATAAAGCGAATTTCCTTTAGAAGATGCAACCGAAAACAATTATAGAGATAATTGAAAACATAAAGCGAATTTTTTTTAGAAGATGTACATAATACAATTCCAGACTTGAGATCGCATACCATATGTGTAATGCTCTCAATATCTACAAAATTAGTAGTTGGATTTAAACTTGTTAAAGCTAACATGCTCCTCAACATTCATCTGCAAACTGAGCATAAAGCTTACGGATTCGCAAGCAACACCAACTGGTGCATATTTTCAGGCGCGCAGACAAATGACTTCTCCGCCTGCCTATGTCAATCTCGTTGCTGCCAGCGTCAACGGCGCAGCTGTTGCAAGACAGCAGACAAATAGCCAAAAAACATTTTTATTAGAAGCGGTAAAGGGAAGACACAGAACGCGTTGTTGTTGTTGCTGTCTTTTTTCTTTATTTTCTTGTAGCTAGCGCTACTATTTTATAGCCACATGTACTCGTATTTGTATTCCTTGCAAAGACATTGGACGTGCAATGAATTTTTAAATAAAATCATTACCTCCCTCAGATGGG